ACTGTGAGTGGGTGATATTTGCGTGTGACTACACACACACAGAGCTGTGGGGATCCGAATGTCAAGTGCAATACGAGAAGAAGAGAGACACCTCGTCGCAGCTGTTGTGTGTGCCGTGCAGTTTGCATGGTTTGCCTAGGGAGATCTAATTTGCTCTCGTTGTTTGTGTGGGAGGGTGCCGTGATGCATCACGCTTGCGTTGTGTGCGGGATTGGGGGTGCCTGTGCGTGTTTGTGTGTGTGTGTGAGGTGTGCGCCGCGTGCCGTGTGTGGGTGGCCCTCTCTCTCTCGTTTTTGTTGCGGCTGCGTGGAGTCGTGTCTCTGCCTGTTTTTTTTTAAATAATTTCATTCTCCCTTTTGACTGCTGGTTGAGTATTGTGCTGCAGTTCAGCTCAACTTAACCACTATGAAGGAAAACATGTCTGAGAGACGCGAGGGAGAATCTCACGCCACCGAGGAGCCCCCGCGCAGCGCCGAAGGGTGGAAGGAGCACCGTAGCGGCCATGGTGGACGCTTGCAAGCTCTATCGAGGATGCCCGTAATGTGCGGGTTGGCCAAATCAATATAATTTTGCTGAACGACTTCCTTTGGCAGTACGTTGGCCCCAACAGAGCGGTGGGTGAAGACCAAAATGTGGTGATGGAGGTGTTTGTGCGTGGGCCAGACAGGTACGTTACAGAGCAGAGGCGTCGTGAGGGAAATCCTCGATTCCACCAGGGTATCAGCTTTTGGAAGATGCACGCAAGCTTACGGAGCGCGTGGTGGGCACGCTCCGAGACTGGAAGGAGTTTACAGATAATGAGTATTGTCTCTGCTATTACACGGACAAAACTGAAGGCAGCTCTTCAACTAGCGTAGGAGGAAGGGGCAACACGGGAAACTGAAATACGCCCCAGAGGACCATCGCCGGAGGCATTCTACGAGTCCGTGTTTAACGCAACGTGGAGTCACGTTGTGGGATTTCCCGAGGGCGAAGGGGAAGACGTGGTGGTGATGGAAGGCCAACGGCCACAAGAGTTATGGGAGTACACGCAGACTGTGCGTACTTTTTTCTCAGTGGGTGGTGAGGGGCAATTCCGTCCACCACGCCCACGGCTCATGATCTTTTCCCCTGAAAAGCGATGGCCGTACTCGTTGAACCATTCATTGCCTATTGCCGACTGCTACATTAACATTGAGGTGCATCGGGTGTGGAGGATCGTCGGGGGCGATCTAAAAGAAGTGTTTCCCCCTCCAGAGAGAGACGCACCTAAAATGGGGTGTCGTCTTTCGATTGGAACCCCCGGGGTAGGGAGGCCAATGGCGGCTGACTCCTACCTCCTTCATCAGCTGCTGCACTACGACGCCACGAAGCTCCATGTGGTTGTGTACTGCTTTGGAAGGGATTTCGCATACTTGTTTGACAAGAGCACACAAACGGTGACAGAATACAGGGGCGGGAGTAATATTAGAGGGGTTATGGTAAATTTGGCTGGGAGTGGAATGAAAGGGTGTATCATCGTCGATATGGCAAGATAATTTAAAGAACCAATCGGATGATTTTGTGCCCTCCCCTGAATGGGGCGTCATTATGTTGTCGTCCCCTAACGAAAAGAACTTCAGAGCCTGGAAAAAGCACGCAGGTGCTATCAAAACCATCATGAATTGCCCCGATGAAACCGACGTGAAGGCGATGTGTGTGTGGGAGACACGCAATACGACTGAGATGCATCGCGGAATCGGCCCGACGTCATCCATGCGCATGTGCATCCTTCTCCAGTACTCCACCTGCTCCTCTTTTCAATTCAATGAATATGAGGACCGCGTGGAGGAAATCAGGGACATCCTGGCAGGTATCGGCGCCTCAAATGCTGTACATTATGGGATGATTGGAGGTATGGAAGAGTGTCCCTCGAATGACGCTTCTCACAAACTTATGAAGGCTGTCAGATTAGTAACACAACGCGGTCTTGAGGCGTTTGTTAACCTGCCGGTCTGTTTTTCTCTTGGAAGCAAATTATTTGCGAGGCTGCTCGAGGTGGGTGAGGAGAATGACATTATTTTTCGACTATTGAAGTACCGTTGAGTGTTAATTCCGGAATTTTTGGAGCGGTGCATTCTGCTCGCATTTCTGAGTAGAGACTTTGTGGAAAATATAGTGCCAGGCCTCAACGAGTTGCCTCCACCAGGACATCGTCGGCAACAGAGATGTGTGCAGCAATCGAACCCCGAAAAGCATCCAAGCAGACCCGTTGGATTAATGGCGCTGGGGCACACTCCTCCGATGTTGGATGCACAATACAAGGTGCTATACGTACCGGAGAGCAGAATCTTTCCGCTTGTGGACGCCTTTTTCTTCGTTGGTGCACCGCGGAGGACGATGGTTGCGGTGCAGGTGAGACGACGAGGGATGAGCATGGCACCAG